CGTTGAGCTTCGTGTACAAGAGAAGTCCGCAATGCTTCCTTCTCCGGGTATTGATCGGGCCGCTGGATTACCAGGTTGTCTTATTGCCTCTCGGTCGACAGGGCACAGAGGTTCCCGGCTATTGGTACGTTGGACTGTCGGTGCTGGTGGGTTTGTTTCCGTGCTTTCCTGTTATCGGCGTCGAGTTAGCTTGCTTGTACTGTGCAAAGGCGCCCTCAGATGAGGGTATATTGTGACCAAGGAGCCAACAGCGAGAACGTCCAGTCGCTGCATCTAGATAATTCGTGAACGATAGCACCGAATGCAAAGACGAACAAGCGCCGAAATGCAAACCATGTTTCTTGGCTTGGGCAGGGCGCTGAGGCGATAGAAGATGGATGAATGCGTGCAGTCGGAGGAGGAAGACACGTCGACGAGAGCACCGAGCTTCTGGACCTGTGGAAAAGGACGGGTTTCTCCAGACCGGGTAATGCCGACAGATTCAAGAATCATCAGAGCTTCCTTTCCTCGGTGGGCCAGACATCTGGGCACCTTGGTGTGACGATATTGAACAACGAAAGCACGTCCCTTGGTTCTCGAGTCGGTGATGCGGATGCCGCGACGGGGAAATCGGACGTACCTGGGTTGGATAGATGTCGCGTCGGCTCGTTGATGTGAGCGATCGTGCTGCGCAGGGTCGAAGTCGGGTTGTGATCGCGCGAGAACGCAGATTTGTCGGGATGAGGGAGCCAGGAAGAGGAATGTTATTGCTAGGTTTCGTCGTTGGCCGAACCGAAAGCCTTAGGTTGACGGGGAGGTTAATGTAGGTAAGGGGAGCCCTTCGAAAATAATAGCGGAAGGGTGAAAAAGGCTTAGTGTTGATTTGCCAGGCTGGGGCCCAGAATACTTTTAGCTGAAGTACCTCCACCCTGGTCACATGCGGGAAAGGGTACTTGTGGGCTCAGCTGCAAGAGGTGTTGAAACGAACTGTTTGGGAAGGGGTGACTGGGATAATTTGGCCCCACATCACTTTTGGGTCCGGGGCCGATGGAAGGTACCTGTGCGGTACCTTACCTCACTCCCGGCTGGAGCAGCAGCCACAGGATCCACTTCAGTTCACTTTTACCACAGTTACTTCCTCCCCGTCTTCAGCATTTATTCCGAGGGTTTGCGGGGAGAGACAAAGACTGGCGTCTTCCAACAGCCAACAGTCACCAACGGAGACGTCAACAGTGGCATACCGCTGTCGGAAAGCACAGTATGCTTGCTAGAAAGGACAGAATACGGTACTGTTTTTGGGAGTCCAGTGGTACCCAGTCGCGTGTTGCATGCTTGTAAGATGGCCCAATCCTCTTGGGAGATTCAAGCTTACGATTTCTCATACATGTCAGCAGGAGTGGCTGTTGTACCGCATCTCCTTAGCTTGAGTATCACCTTGTGCCTCGTTTCCTGTCTTCCTTTCCTCTTGTCCAAGTCTCCAGACAGCAACATAGGCTGTGGACAGATTACACGGAGAGTCGAGGCTTGTCTTCCCTATCATTGTGGCTAAATCTCGCTCGGAATCAAGTCGCCGTGCCAAACAGACGTGCAAACGGGCAAGTGACTGGAGGAACAGGACCACCCAATGCATATCGACATTCGGACACATCCTCACGGCTACCTCGTGGGTACACGGTGCACTAGTTTCCTCCACTTCTTCAAGTGTGGCGCCTGTGTTTGCACTGCACGTACTATCAACAATGGACGGATGGTATCTGGTTCCTGTTGATCTCTCGCCGTTGGCGAACTCTCATCGATGTCGTTCACGGTGTTGATGGCAGCTGTCCGTCTCTCAAGTCATCCAACGCTTGGGCCGAGTCGCCAATGATGTCAAAATTTAAACGGCGCAAGGATTGAGCGATTGAAACCAACGATGGTGGATGGCTAGCAGCTCGGAAACGTATCCACTGGACTCAGCCTTAAACTCGTCTTCTTCGGGTGTTTTACCAAGGACAGGGGACGGACAGGCACACTCTGGAAACAGCTGGGGTCGAAAAGGGGCTCTCGGATCACACAACGCACCGTCCTCGAAAGCTTCCATTTCTTCCACGGCTTCCATGAGCGGCATCCATGGGCTGGCTGCAGTTTGCCGGTCCCGTCATCAATGACCACGTCGAGCCATGCCCCTTTCCACTGACACCAGATTGTCCAGGTTTAATTACGTGCAGAACCTGCGCTACGACTAGTTCGAATCTGGAGCAATGTCTGGCAGTCAGCAGGATCCTAATCAACATTACCACCATTGCATCTCACCAACCAACTCTTGCAGCCAGGGTTCCAAGTGCACCTGGCAATTACGTGTCTTCCTCGAGCAAGCATCGGGGACAGATCAATTGGCCGGCTTGGGCGACCGGTTGAGATGATCATGCTGACCACGGTGAACGAGAGCCGCAGCGCTTCAATGGTCGATGAAGGAGCCATTTCACATCAACGACTGCAGTCCGCCGAACAAATGATCTCGTGGCTTCATCGATCAATGCTCCCGTTTGGCCGGTGCGGTGGTCAGTGGTCAGTGCATGAATAGCCTGCTGGCCGTGCCCCTGTGAAGCCGGGATGCCGTGCGCCAGCTGAGATTGCGCCATCCACAACAGGAAGGTTTCCAGAAGGCCGCAAACCTTCTCGAAGCCGTCGAAAGACGCACGGAAGCCTGCTGGAACGCCCAGCTGGAAAGTGCGCCTCGTCACATCGTCACACACAGGCCACATCCCAAACACAAACGGCCTTCTCGAAGCCTTCTTCGCACCCATCACCCAGTCACCCTGGACAGCCCCTGGCGCCAAGCCAATGCGAGTCGAGCTTTCGAACAAGGGTTCGGAGCACATCAATGCATGAGCTCGCCTGCGCTTGCCAGACATTGGCCGGAATATCGACAACCAGGCCGACGACGGAGAAGATGGCGCGAAACTGTGCAGTCATCCGAGTTGGAGCTGCAGTCTGTCTGTCCAGCTGCTGCAGATATCCGCAATAATATCCCGTCTTTCACTTTGTTTTGTTGACTTTGCTTTTTCCTCAAGCGTCTCGTTTGCGACGTCTACCTGTCACATTGCTTATCTCACTTGAAGCGCCCGGCCAGAGAGCGATCGGCGAACGGACTGCATAATGAGCGCCAACAGGCTAAGCACGGAGGTTTGCTTGAATTGCCTGACACCCTGACACCGTTGGTCAGCTCAGCTGAGGACTGCTTGGCCTGAGCTTCCTTCCAGAAGCCTTCCATGCAGCGGGTGTTTCAAGTGGAGATCCCTACCCTTGCATCCAGACGCAACCGTCCTTGCTTCTTGTTCGATATGAAGATCCCTCGATATGAGCGCCCACTTCATCAACAGCGCGGCCTTGAGGCCTCGAGTTACCAACCTCGACGCTACTTTTACTCAGTCCAGCGCTATACGACGCCTAGCCCGTCATCTGTTTGCTCTGCGTTCATCACTTGTGAGGAGACACGACGCTTCGCGGAGCAGCTGGTTCGCTGCATGCATTGAGCTTCAAAGCACGGACAGCCAACAACAGCACCACCTCCTCAGCCGCAACCCCACGCCCCCGTTCCCCCCAGCTCGACGGACTTCGAGCTCAATGCATCATGCGACCTCCTAACGTCCGCAAGTTCAGGCGCTATGGTCAATCAAGTTACGTTATCACATGCGGCCAAGTGCAAACAACAAGTGTTGAATGCTGCCACCATCCGTCTAGCTTCCTACACCAAGATCATCACAATCTCATCGTCATTTCGGCACATCCGAGATGGTGGTGGGTCTGCTCGATTTCCTTTTCCCTTCGATCAAACGGCCCTCGCCTCACCGCTTGAGCTCTAGTGAGCTTCGAGCAAGGCTAGGCGCCTCAAGCCTCAAACGCATTACTTGTTGCGGTCAGTGCCGCCACCGCGGTCATGGACTAGTTTGCATTGATCACCAGGGCATTCTTACGTGCTGTGCCGGTTGATGACGGGCAGCTGGTTATCGAGGAGCCAACATGGTTTACATACCCACGGACCGAAACCACCAACAGCGTCCCGGACGCCAGTGTGCGGTTTCCCTTCCGATGCGGTGGGTTGGTTACGCCTGCCATTGGGAATGAAGCATGGACGCAGGTGCTTGCCGCCCGCCGAAGATTACCTAGTTGCCCCATGCCTCCCATAGTCGAGTGTCTAAGAAGACCTTCGTCTCAACCATATGCACTGGCACCAATATGAGCGGACGGTGACCACCTATTCTATCCCGGGCATGGCAGAGCAATTCGATGTCCAGGGCAGCCGTCACCTTCCGTTGTCTCTCTCAACATGGACATAGGCATTGGAGCCGCCATGATTGAATATCCGGGCTGTTGGGTCGATGAAGCGGTGGAAAAGAAGAATGCATGACTATCACATGCGCACAGCCGCCACCATCTTGCCGCCCTCGAAAACGGCGGTCTCAAAGACCGTGTTAATCCGAAACTCGGGTACAAATACGAAGCTTGTTCTGAAGTCGAGAGCCCCCGTTGATGGACAAACATCATGGTGAGCCAACTGATACCGCTATATTGGGAGCTGGAGTGTGACCGGCAAGGACCACGCTCCCAGCTGGGAGACCAACCCTCCTTCGTGGTCTCGGGCTGAGCTTCAGGCTTCCGGGTCCGCGCTCCTGGAATCCTCCGTTGTGGTCAAATTCGTCATCGATCAATATGGGCTGGAAGAGAGCGGCCACTTATTCATCAGATGCTACGCTGGCCGAATCTCAGTGCATCATGCCATCGCAAGATCCGGTTCATGGACAGAAACCATCCCTCGTGCGCCTCCTATCACGAGCTTCTTTCTCACCGAATCCATCGTCGCCTCGATGGATGCTCCACCGCTGCCGTCGGGTGTTTCCCTCCATCAAGATTGTCGCTTCCCTCCCGATGAATGGGCCAATCTACAACATGAGATATATAAAACTCTTCCGCGCCCCGAATCTCCATCAACACAGACCTGACTCCACAATCTGCGGTGGGTGCTTCAAACGCCCACTTAGTCTTCCGTAGTATAGTGGTTAGTATATGAGCTTGTCATTCCGGGCTTTCTGAGCCCTCGACAATACGCTCGGGACCCGGGTTCAATTCCCGGCGGGAGAGTCCGCCAATGTTGATACAACTTTTTGTTCTTTCTCCTCCGTGGTCGACGGACGAATGGGAGGGACACCTTGCTTTTTTGCCTGCGGTGAGTGATTGCTGAGATCTCCGCTAAGGTGGTTGTCGAACGAACACCAAGCGATCCCAATCCAGGGAAGGGACAGCAGAGACGAGATAGCATTTGCCCAAGTAGCCGGTAGGAAAGCAACATTCGGTCAAATAACCAATACGCCGCACCATATGAGAGGAACGTAGCAGCGGTACATACACATGCCAAATTTTATCTAGCCGTAGGTAGTCAAAACCACAATCCCCGCCGTGAAGAAACAAAACAACCGCATCCCCCTGCCTACTTCCCCGACCCCCTGCCTACGAAGAACCATTAACAGCAATCTTCCCCTCCGTCTTCTCCAAATACTCAACCATGTCCGCAATAGTGCACACCCTCAGCCCCCACCGCCTCGCAAACTCGACGCACGCCTCGCCCCTCATCATGCCGGGGTCCAGCAGCACCGCGCTGCCCGCGACCTCCCTCCCGTCCTCGACGAGCTCGCATATCGCGGCGGCGGGCCTCTTGCCCGCCATCCGGCACAGGTCGATGGCGGCCTCGGTGTGGCCCCTCCGCTCCCTCACGCCCCCTTGCTTACTCCGCAGCGGCAGGACGTGGCCGGGCCTCCGGAAGCTGTCGGGGGTCGCGTCATCGGCGGCTAGGGTGCGGCAGGTCAGGGCGCGGTCGTGGGCGGAGATGCCCGTCGTTAGGGTGGCGTCGGAGGCGTCGACGGTCACGCAGTAGGCCGTCACGCGGGGGTCGGCGTTGTGGGTTACCATTTGGGGCAGGTCGAGGGTTTTGGTGCGGTCGGGCAGGATGGGGGCGCAGATGTACCCCGAGGAGTGGCGGATCATGAAGGCCATTTGCTCCGTCGTGACGGACTCGGCGGCTATGATCAGGTCGGCTTCGTTTTCGCGGCCGGGGTCGTCGAGGACGACTACGAATTCGCCATTGCCTGTTTGTTTGGAGGGGTTAGAAGAGGGAGCGATTGAGGGGGTGGGGGAAGAGGTGAGGGGAAAAGACGAACGGAATGCTGCGACTGTGTCGGGGATTGAGTCGAATTTCGACGGGTCGATTGTTGAGGAGGGCATGGTGAACTGTAGGAAGGGGGCTCGTGTTGCCGTCGTACAGGTTAAGTCGACGGTTTCGTGGGGTTGCGGTTTCGGCTGGTTCGATGCGACAGTTCAGCCCTGCGTCATTGAGCAGATCCGGGGCAGGAGGTGGATTAGAGGGTTCGGACGGGAAGATGAGGCGAAACTGTGGTCGGGTATCTCGAGCAGTCAAGAGTCAAAGTTGGAATAAAGAGGAAGTCTGCGAATGGCGTCGAATCACACGAGGATGTGGTTCGGGGAAGAGCGACTGAGCAATTGTCACAAGCGGTATCCACGGGCCCGATTGGAAAGAGAGGAGAACTGGAGAATGCGCCGGCGCAAAGCGGAGTCACTTACATGAGAGCAACCGCGGCTTACTCTTGGATTCTAGACTATTATCGGAGACTTCGATTGCCACTTGGACCCTGAAAAGCGGACTCTTCGTCGACTTTAAGGTCTTCAGCTGACAATTTTCGATCTGGGCATCACATGGTGATCCCTTTCGATACTGCAATGGCCTGCGTAACAGTGCTTGACAATCTGCGGTCCCCGTTACTGTCAACGTCTGCATCTCGGCATGCAGCCGCGAACGAGACAAGAGAGATGCATTACCATCCCGAACATGCCCCGGACTGATCGCGCATCATTGGATGACAGACGCTGACAAACTGCTGCCCGCGATTTCTGAGAATCGGCATGGCGGGGATCCAAATTCCTTTCCCCGGCATATAGGCGCGCTGAGGCTCACGTGGGTTCGCGACGACCTGCCGGAACCGCGTCCGTGAGCCGGGCGGTCGTCGTCTCGCCCTCCCTACCATTAAAGCATTGTCTATAGGGTAGCTCCCGAGTCAGAAATCATCTGTATGCTTTGATGATAGTATCTCGGCGCAAACAAATAGGAATCTTGACTCATTACTCGTTTACCTACCAGAGCAACGCACTCGATAAGCGGACAGGGAGCATGGCCACAGTCTCCAGACTTACTCATTTCTCTTAATGTTGGATCTGTCCGTATTAACCTCACCGAGGGAACAAGAGTCGGTGTATCCACTCTGCTTTCCCCAAGAACTATATCAAGTAAGTCAATGTGGCAGACTCAAACCAGCGGGGTGTAAATACAATATATGTCTCTATTATACGCATACTCACCTTCAAACTGTGTCTCCTCACCATCCATGGATGCCACCTGTGCCCGCTCGGCCGACGGGAGGCATTGCTGGAGATGTCCGGATGCACAGGACGGGCCAGCCCCACTTATCCCGACTAGCTGGTTCGGCTCCGCTGCCGAAAATGACGGACAGTTGAAACTGAATTCTGCCCTTGGAGCTCCGTCGTCATCGACACTTCCACCAAACAACACAACACAACTACACACAAAATGAAGCCTCTAATACCACGCAACACCGCGTCAATCGCCCGCCGCCTGCGTTCGAACACCCACATAAACTACCCAGCAGCAACCGCCCCCTCAGCACGCCGTTTCCGAATCACAACAACCCCCAATACCTCCCCTCAACCACCACACCACCATGCCTCCTCCTCCTCCTCCCCCTCCGTCAACGCCTCGGAAATCTCCCACTTCAACGCCCTAGCCTCGACATGGTGGGACCCCCACGGCTCCTCGCGCGTGCTGCACCTCATGAACCCGCACCGCCACGACTTCATCCGCGGCTGCCTCTCCTCCCAGCGCGACCCTTCCCCCTCCCACAAGCTGCGCTACCTCGACGTCGGCTGCGGCGGCGGCATCTTCGCCGAGTCCGCGGCGCGCCTGGCCTCCACCGACTCGGTAACGGCCATCGACCCCTCGACCGAGATCCTCGCCGTCGCCCGCCGGCACGCCGCCCGCGACCCTGCTTTGGCGGGGGGGAAGCTGACCTACCTCAACGCCACGATCGAGAGCCTACCACAGCTAGAAAAGGAAGAGAGCTACGATGTCGTTACCCTGTTCGAGGTGATAGAGCACGTCGAAGACCCGGCCTCGTTCCTGGAGCGGTGCGGGCGGTTCGTCAAGCCGGGCGGGTGGTTGGTGTTGAGCACCATCGCGCGGACGTGGACGAGCTGGTTCACGACGAACCTCGTGGCCGAGGATATCATCGGCATGGTGCCCAAGGGCACGCACGACTGGAGCAAGTACATCAACGAGGGCGAGATGAGGGCGCACTTCGCGAGGAAGGCCGGCTGGAGCAGCCCGCGGGTGCAGGGGGTTGTGTACGTGCCTGGGTTCGGGTGGAAGGAGGTGTCTGGGAGCGAGAAGATTGGGAATTACTTCTTTGCTGTTAGGAAGGATGCTATGGCTGTTGTTGAGAAGGATGCTACGGACCTTGTTAAGAAGCATGCTCAGGCTGTCGTCGAGAAGGAGGAGTTGCCTGTGGAGAAGGTCTAGGGTAGTTATCATTACCGGAGGAAGAGACGGCTGTATAACATGCAGTGTAAGATATGTATCATTACAACGATTACCCGGATAGAACAAGCAACGTCACCGAGAAAGGTGAAACCGGTAAAGGATCGCATATTATGGCCCGAGAGCGCGAGCTGCCACTCTATTATAACCAACGCCTACGTACAAGAGCCCCAAAATTAGACCTTATAGAAGCAGAACGCGATATAAAAGTTCGCCGCGTCCATCTCCTCATCAGAGACCAACAGCTCCCCCGTGTTCCGGTCCCGAACACCCATGCGCTCGCTTAGCGGTCCCAGCTCCCGATCGTCCTTCTCGCTCTCCCAGACATCCTTAAAGGTCTTGTGGTACTGCAGCTCCAGGTTGTAGTCGTCGGCCAGCGATCTGAACGCCTCCCACGGGACGACATACTCGGGCACTTCCTCGACGGCCTCGTGCAGGAAGAAGCTGTACTTCCAGCCGAACGGCGGCCGGAAGATGCCGTCTTCTGGTGTCGGCCCGGGGAAGCGGACGTGGTAGATGTCGTTGCCCCATTCTGCGGTCTTCTCTGGCTCCTCTGCCTCGCCTTCTTCGACCTCGCCGTCTTCAGCTGGAGTCTCATCTTTCTTTTCGGCCTCCTTCTCCTGCTTTTGCCTCTCTTTCTCTGCCTTCTCCTCCGCAAGCTTCTTGTTGAAAGCCTCGACCTTGCTGCCGATAACATGCGAGTTCGGGATCGTGCCGATGAACCTCCCTCCCTTCTTCAGCGACCCCGCCACATTCCTCAGCATTTGCCTCGCCTTCTCCTCCGTCTCGAAAGCGTAATGCATGCAAAACATCATGCTCACCACATCAAACCCCCTGGGCCCGCTGATATTCGAGTTCGTAAACCCAACCTGGTGAACAATGTCAACATCCCCAATCGTGCCCCCAAAACAGTCCTTCACCTGAAATCTGCCGTCAAAGATCCTGGGCTGCGGTCGCCTGTCATACCCACCCCTGCCTCCCCCCCTCCCCCCTCTCCCACCCCCGCGACTAGCCATCTGCCTATACCTCTCCCTCGCCTGCTCAATCGACACCTCCGCCGGATCGAGCCCGACATAGAGCTGCACCCTCTGCGGCGCCTGCTGCCACTTCCCCAAATCCCCGCCCTTCCCGCACCCGATGTCCAGCACCAGCAGCTCGTTATTACTCCGGATCCCCCTCTCCAGCGCGCCGGGCGTGTGGTCCTCGTCAGGCGCGAACTTCTGGATGATGCAGCTCTTGACCCAGTTGTTGAAGCTCCGCAACCCTTTGATCTTGCTGTCCGTCTTGCGCCAGTCGCGGCCCCTCTCGGGGACGGCGTTGTAGTGCGCCCGCACGACGTCGTTGATCGCCCCCGGCCCGGAGGTGGCGCTCTGGCGGGCAAGCCGCTCCTCTTCCTCGCGGGCGGCGCGCTCGCGCTCGAGCTGGCGGAGGCGGATGGCCTCGCGTTCGGCGTCGGTTATGC